ACATTTAAAGTCATCCTAATTATTCGTTTAAATGTAATTAATTAGCCGAATGGTTAAACAGTACAACATTATTACTCTTCGCGATGATTTTTCTTCAATAATAAATCATTGTATAAACCGTATAAGTGCTTGAGAAGTAAAATGTTCACATAGATAATACATCATTTAGTAAAAAAAAAAAAAAAAAACCATAAGTTATAGGTAATTAACCAATAAATATCATATCAATGTGTCACAGTTATCGCTAACATATTAGCACTACTCCGTGCATAAAAAGCATATTATTTTTTTGATCCAGCCAACAGTTCAATGACGGCGTTTCGATGCCGACGGTTCACCGATAAAGTATATGATTAACGATAAGCGAACGGGTTGAATACACGGGGGAAAAATGTAAAACCTATTGGTTTAAAATAATTTAAAAAAAAAAAAAAAGCTATAAAACTGAAATTATACATCTGTCACGTACTAGCGTTTCGCGATTTATTTGAATTTCAACAATTAATTATTAATTTAGCCGGATATTTTTTTTCGAATAAATCATTCACAGATGGACATCGTGCGCTCCGGTCGAGGAAATTATTTATTTATTATTATTTTTTTGTGGTGTATTAATGCGCTTCTAGACTCGTTAGGGCATTCAGCCCATTACAGTTCGCATGTCCGTTTCGATCGACGATAAGGATAAATTCGTTTTCGCGAAAGTGGAACGAAAGAGTAGTATTGAAATGTTCTAGCTCGTTACGGCGTTAAAAAGGATTGGAAACCACGTGCTTTTGGAAATCAATAACTCGTCGCGCCGACAGTCGGACAATCCAGCATCTGAACGATTGTTGGTCGCTTAATATTACGTGCCCATACGTAATAACAACATGTCCATGTTGACCCAGACACCTGTTTAAAAAATCAATCAGCTTCGTCGTGAAACGATAAGTTCTCACGCGCTCGTTGGAATTTTAAAGTAACATCCGTCGTACTCGCAACGTTCGTACAGCCCTTAAGCTTTAAAAACTTACGTTTCGTGCTAAATTTACGTGATACGATTCGATTATCCGAACGAATAATTTCAGGATGACTCGAGTGTTCCGGACGATGAAATATTTAAATAAACACGACCGCGATTTACAGTTATAAATAATTAAATCAACGGAATGTTAGATTGTATTTGATCGATAATACGTAAGACCTCTGTTTAAAAAATCGATTGTATAAAAATAAAAATAGGTTGATTCTAGATTAAATCACAGCGTGAATAAACAAACAACAGTCACTTCGCGTTTCAATTCGTAACACTCGGTTAACGGATAACCGATCGGTCGCACAACCTAAGATCGAATAACGTTTTCTTCCATATTACATTGTATTATCTGCTACACGCCAACGTCGTAACTATACTGGCGCAACTCACCGCCTCCCTCCAATTCAATGGCAAATTGAAATTAAAAAATACCTAAGAAATTCGATCGCAATGAAATGATCAATACTATTAGTGATAGGAACACCAGAAAGAAGGAATTTTAAATTTCCAGCTTTAATGAATAACCTTTGAATGTATATAAAATAGTATTTTTTTTTATGACGCAGAACAAAACTCCAATTTTATTTAAAGTAACACGTGTAATACTGTATCTCCGTTCAATAAATAGAAAAAAATCGAAAAAAAAACAATCTTTTTAAAAATGTTTTCCACGAATATTAAACTACTAACGTATATATTATTTGAACTATTGCAATTTATTTCTTATATTTACAATCTCTATACGTACATGTTTATATTATAAAATTAAGAATCAGTGGGATTTTCGCGTTTGAATTTTTGAGCAGTTTGTTCGAGCTTAAAGTGTAATTTGTAGTTTTTAACTTCTAACAAGCAAAACATCAAGGCTGACCCCATCGAATTGGCTTCTTAGTTTGTTTTTAATGAAATGCAATTAAGTAATTGTATCGATATAAACGTCTATAGTATGATTTATAATCTATATTATAAAGAAAAAAATCTCGATGTCCATACGTATTCTTAAGAACCACAGATTGTCGACCCCTGGTCTAGGCTTTTATCGTGAACACTTTCAACAGAGTACGCTTTTCGCATACGCATCATATATTGATCACAGGCATTCAAATCACCAACGGAGAACGTGCACGTCGATAACTATGTAAGCATCTACAAGGAGATGCTCGGGCATGACCGTCCGAAGTAGGGCGGGAGAATAGGGCAAGTGCCCTAGACCGTCTAAAGTATTATAAATTTAGAGGGCGTCATAAAAACTGATGATAATGAGAAAAATTCGGTGTATTATTTAAGAAAGGTATTATACTGAAGTATCTACGATTATTACGTATCGAATTATATATTATACCTAAACTATTAAATATGAAATCGTGTAAATAACGAGAATAATGCATTACGCGTCAACAGTAATGCATAAATGTTACTAAAGGACAAAATATTATTGATAAATAACTTAACCTAACACGTTCAAGGAATGAAGGCGATTGCACGCTAAAAACGCGATGTTAATTGTATAAACAAAAATTTATGGGGAGGGAAGGGGGCGTCAAGTGTGGTTGCCCTAGGGCGTATTTGATAGTTAGAACGGTACTATGCTCATGTACACTTTTGTCTGACCGTCAAGAACGAAGATAATGCATAGGCATTGTTCGTGCCGTACGGGAATCGGGTACATGGACATGTCCGGATTTCATGGATTATTCAATTCAATTTTGCAGTTCAAAGACTCATTTCTGTATTCAAATAAATTTAATTAAGGTTATGCGGTAAAGATAAGTTAATTGGGTATTCAGTCATGGCATCACTGTAAGTTATAGAGGTATAATAAACTTAACAATTCAATAACTTGTATAGGTAACTGATGATAAAAAAATTATAAAAACTGTTTAAGCCACGATAAGTATACTGTAATTCAGTGGTCTCAACCTTTTTGACTTGCGACCCAATTTTCTTATTTTTTCACGACCAATATCGGTTTCGTTATTCATTCGTAATTTTTGATAAAAATAAAAAAAGTTAAAACTGCTTAATATATGCCGCTGCAGAAGTGCTTTTATAACTGAATTAATAACCATTTATATCTGTCTAGGTATCTAAGTAATATTTAATGTACATTATGAGAAGTGATATAAAAATAAAAATAAATACATGTAATGATACAGAAAAAAAAGTAAATGTAATAATACAAAAAAAAAATAGTACCACGTTTGCAAGTTTTATGGATTACATTTATATACATTATACTATGGATTTATAAATTATATATTTTAGGTTTATAATCTTCAAACCTTGTGATATTTGAATCTGACTATTTTCGTACAAAATACTCTATCTCGGCACAATTTTACACTATGTAATTTATACATCGGATATTGTACATTGACACAGAGTTTTATCGATGAAGTTGGGCCTTTTTGAAGCCCGATTTGAAGTTCATTCATATCTTCTACGGATATAAAACAGTATGGTTTCGGGTTTAATCGAAAATTATTTTATCCGATTTCATATGGCATACATAATATAATATTACTATACTTATAATACAAATGTATGAATATGATTTTTTTAAATTTCAAACTGAAGACTTATCGCGACTCGCAGTTGGGGTCGCGACCCATCGGTCGAAGAGCATTGCTGTAATTCATAGAAAACACTATTACATAATTTGTTATTAAACTTTAATTACTAATGGAATGATTTATTTTACCTGTTTCTCTTCTTCTGCTTCGCTTTTCTCCCAACCATTTGGGTTCGGCCACCCTAGTAATTTTTGATAAAACTATGTATTTCGCTGTTAATTAAAAACAACAGTTAGTCGCATAAAATGCGAACACAAATCCGGATACGAATTTTATTAAAACCCGGCTTTTCAGATGTTCGGATCCCCTGCTCATCCCTAGTGCGCGCACGCGTCCTACTCCGACAATAATACCCACGTGGTCATCGAACAAGGTCCCTGACTGGTCCACCAGTACCGTCTCCCTCCATCCAACGCCACTCCAATGCACCACCGATCGGTTGTGCATCACGAACGAGTTGCACAATAACGTCCAATCGATAGCATACCCGTTGATCCTTTTTAAGAAATGTTACAGCGTTCACGTGGCACGCCTATTCGGTTACGGCGAACCGCGACGATCACGATACAGCCATACACGGAATCTGCCATAAACGATGCGCGAATCCCCGTGTACAACCGCCAGTCGGTTCATTTACATGTAATTGAACCGGTGGTTCGGACGAAACGGCGTACACTCACGCACGTATTACACGACTTACTACGATACGTCAGTGTTACACATCGATATCTGTTTCGACACACGACCGCGCGTTCGCCGTCCAAACAATGAACGCTTTTGGACACGCGTTTCCAATGGCGTACACAGAAAATATTTTCGGGAGGGGCTACTATGGCCAGAGTTAAATTACCACTGCTGTCTATGAATTACTAACAAGACATAGTAGGCACTTATCTACATCCCATCTACGTCCCAAAACGATTTGACGTTGGACGCAAATACTAAATAAACATAAAACACCATTAAAATGTAGCAAACGTTTAAAATAATTTTTAAGTTTTTTTCAAACCATTTAGGAGAGGGGGGCTGTAGCCCACTAGACCCTCCCCCTATATACGCCACAGCGCACGTTTCATTATTTTTCGACGAGTCGGATTCGAGTGAGTTTGTGATCGCTAATCGATAATCATCGTGCACAGTAATAATTCGCTGTATGGTAGCTGCGTACGACGTTTTATCATTGTTCCGGATCGTTATGTTATTCAGTTGTTAAAGAGCGTAAAAAAAAATTTAAAAAAATATGTAAAAAAATTCGGTATTGACTTCAAAATCGCTTAGTCGATAACATTCGACGGAATTCAATTGTTTTACCGCACTAGTTGTTGTTCGTCAAATATCTTTCTTATGAAATATCGAAACGAAAAAAATTCAAAACAAACAATACGACAACGAAAAAATGTGTCGACGAATAAAAATGAATTAAAACACCGTGTATTTATTGTTTTAGAACAACATAGTAATTCGTTTCACAAAATATATGCATGTGCGTATTAATTCACACGAATTAATGATAAAATATACTAAAATATTAATCGTATATAATATCGTAAGTAGAATTATAGAAAAGAAAAATTAATATAATTAAAAAAAATAATCAATTACTCTCAAAACGTAATATTATGATTAACAAATAAAAAAGGCGAACGCCTGTGTTAGTTATAACATATGTATACATACGTGTATATATGTATGTATAAAATAAAAATAATAATTGATGATTAAAAATAATAATAATAATCATTATACAATCGTATCGCAAAGTATGAATCTATAATCATTAGTTATAATATAATAATTATAATTAAAGTTTTACGATATCCGTCACATATTGTGCATCATATTATAATTCTTTTCATGAACGAATACATTTCAACGTAAAGCAAACTAAATAATAATTATGTTTTCCCTTTAAAACAAACAGAATTAATGAATAATAATAATAATAATAATAATAATTATTATAATAATAAAAAAAAAACGTCCGTATACAATCCACGTTCGCACGAATACGACGAAGAGAACCGTGGAGGACCTGGGTAAACAGCTTTTGCGTGCGTGCAGTTAACGGCGGCGGCGGCGGGCGGCGGTCGGCGGAATCATATAGTTTGTCTTTGGCGGGCGAAGGGTGTCGATCCATCGCCGTCTTACATGGCACCGCACTCCCTGAGCACCCTGCTGCCCAACGGCAATGGCGGTCTGTAGTTGTTGACCAGCTGCGGACCGCCATGCGGATCCGAGCAACATTCTTCCGGCGTTTTCATCCGCATGCTCCGGAACGCGTCAAGCTGCAAAGAAAATTTTACAATGGTCGTCAAAACGTTGCCATCGGTTTTCCATGACGGACGTTAGGAAACGGTATTTTTTTTTTAGAGGAGGAGTCTAAAAATATTTAATTTTTCCCCGCCCGAAATCGGTGTTATCCGCCGATAACATATAATACCAATAAAACCTTTTGTTAAGAATATATTTCCTTTCGGAGTATTTTATTTACATGTTACAATACGAAGGCATACGAAGGATTACGGATTAGCCGATACGGAAACATTTCAGGGGCTCCTGTGGATATGTGACCACTGATCTATCGAATTCCAATGATAGCAGCCGGTCTTTTCCCCAAGGGCGTCCGTAATGTTTTAGGAAGACTAGGCCACACGTTAAACGAGTAAAAGTTGTTGTGAGCCGTTAACATTTTTATAATTATAGTTTTGATTTATAATTATAACAGGATTTATCGTTTTATTTATATGACAATACATTTTATTTATTTTAACAGAGAAAAAAAAATAGAACATTCCAAATTTTTAAATTGTTTTTTCCGAAAATAATAAAAGTATAAAATCGAAAAGAAAATCACCTGCTCTCCTACAACCGGAGAACTTTCGTACCTCCGTGAGAAATAACGACAACGTGTTTTCATCATCGCCAGTGTATCTATATAATTGATTCCCGGTCGTCGAATAAGATTTCATGATTCGACGCAATCAATTGGTCGCGTTAATTTACGAAAGTGCTTTTATTTCCACATGAAAAAATAAGAACTAGTAAGGGTAACTGCTGATTACGGTTACTAGCTCAATAGAGAACGTTATATATTTACATCCGAGTGGTTTCAGAAGTCGTAAGTATTATACGTTCATAACGGTATTGTGAAAGTTACACAAATTATACACTCTTCACATTTTATAACTGCGTGATGGTGATATATCATGCTGTTATAATAAATTCGTTGAGGCTATTAAATTACAAAAATAAATTTTCTGTACCTCTTATACTCCTTAGTCCTTTTTAAAATATTTTATTTGGCCAAATGTTTTGCTTATCCTTCAGTATAACTTAACGGATATGGTAGAATATTTTATTTTAGTACAAAGCTAGATGAATAATAATGAAGTATCGTAAAAGCTATACATTTAAAACAATTTACCAACAACTTAAGCTACCTAATATTATTAATAATAATGAGACATGTAGTTTTTTTCGATGCGAATTGAGTAAAACTTGTTTGTGCATAATAATTTATCATTTAATGAATAAAAAGCAAAAAAAATTTTGAAATTTTTATATTTTTTTTAGAAAGAATGATGAGTAAGAGCCATTAATTTTACAACAATGTGGATTTTCAAGTATTAAAAAAGCAATAAAATTTTAGTTTTAACATATCTATTACTTTTTACAATTTTTTATTTGAAATATAGCAATAAAATAGTGAGAAAATTTTGACAATTTCTTGGTATATCGAACTATGTTTTCAAAATTGATTTTCGATTACGATTACTAACGCCAATACACGCAACGTCGAGATGAGTGAAGAAAAAAGAGTCATAACTATGAAAATCACTTGACATAATTTGACTCAATTTTAGAAATTCCTAGGATCTTATAGTAACGCAATTTCGTAATAAGTATGAGTTCATTTAATTCATATCTTCACTCCAAAATATTTATAAAGCCCTTAAAATCGTTCCTCTCAGCATCACTATCAAACAATACAACTCTAGAACATTCTATCAGTGTGTTTTCCTCCATTAAAATGGAAAAATGACTTACTTAAAATGCCACATTTTAACACAATGTCGCCTACTGACAATGTTAAAATATCATCTACGGACTAATTGTATCGAATTATTGCTTTACAATTTTTTTTACGATCTATCGAAATCCAACGACAACTTTTAAATTTTTGTAGCTCAGCGAGTTAAATTTGATGACTTTTACACCATATAACAAACATTGTTAAATATTTTAATGCAATATCATAGATATAGTGCGATCTACTTAAGTCGTGTAACACACTGGAATTTCATCTCATGTGCCGAATAAATTCCGTAGCAATACCTATAAAATTCGTACGGAGTATACGTTGAATGGGGTACGGTAAAAAACATTAAGCAACCGCAAACAATTTCTTGAATATTAGACAAAGTTATTGGGTTTTCTCCGTCCGAGTAAGTACCTAATACCCGTAAATTATTTTAGCATCGCACAAAGAGAAATGTTTCTAACATTTTTACGACCGCATGTAACCGTATATATATATATATATATACAATATCATCACTGCCCAGCGACCACTGCTATTCCTCTCTGGCTGATGGCAATGGCAGTACACATTGCGGGCATGAAATTAATAACCGTATAGGACCAAAAAAAAATTGATTTTTATTACGTTATACATTCGCTAACCCACGAAAGTGATAAACTAATGATTAACGTAACAAATACTTTCGGTGCGGTGCATTAATAATACGTAACTTTGAGACAATTATACTAATATTGTATTCTGTTAGGACTTCATCAATATTTTTCATTATATTCTATCGTAACGATATGATCGTTAGTGGTAACACCATAGTATAATATTATACAACAAATATAATATTATATTCTTCGAAGTTTCAAAGAATGTAAGCAAATATCTTTATCTATTATATAATTATCGCTATTTCATCGAGCTTGATTAGATTGCTTTATCGCAAAGATTTATTACAACATAATAATAATTAAATTTAATCTTATTCTTCTTTAATTTTAGTTTTATACAGCTGTCGGCTAAATACATAATATGCAATTTTAATTAACAAAAAAAAAAAAAAAAAAAAATAATACCCAAGAGAAATTATAATTTTAGTAACTGCTCACTAGAATGACATTTGTTTTAAACATACATGGTAAACAAAATTTTGATCATTAGTAATTCATTTCCAATTGAATGACGTTATCAATGACTTATCTGTAAAAATTAATGCACATTCTAATCTCACAAGTAAACGAAAAATGCATCCATTAAAGATGAAAGATTTGTAAAAACTGAAAATACACCCGGATGATATATATTTGTATTTTGTCAACACCGTTTAAAGAACAAATATTTCAACCGCAGAGTATTATTATTATTATTACAATATCGTTTCATAACCAATATACGGACTTGCAGACAAAGAGACGCACGATATCAGTTGAAACTATTGATTTTTAAACAGATTCTTGACTTAGGCACTTAAGAAAAACACATTTGTTCATATTTGGTTGTCTGTTTACATTCAACATATCTAACGTAACAAAATCACCCTATATAAAACATACATTGTGAAGTTTGAGTAGGATTAATAATTAAACCAATGTTATGGAATCAAAAAGGAAGAATACTTATAAAAGCATTTTTTTCGTAAAACAACGACTGACAATTTACAATTTACAATTTACAATTTGAGGGATTTCAGTATTAGATTTATATAATTTTTGTAAAAAAATATTCAAAAATATTCTTTTCTTTAACTTTCACGATATCAAATTTTATGTTATGATATTTATGTTTCATTTAGCGTGTTTTTGCTGGGCTGCGCGTTATAGATAGACAAAAACCACCGAACGAGAATTGACTTGATGCTATCTAGTGATTATGTTATCAATTAAAAAATTGTTTTATGTACTTCTCGTTCTCACATGATACAGTCTCTACTCACAAACTTCGTTATTCACTTGTTATTGTTAATATACCGTTTTAAACATTAGTCTTGTTAAAATTGATGTATATATAATGATTTCTAGAAAAAAATTAAATAAAATATAAGTAGGTAATAAAGTGGGTAAATATATTTTAAGGTATGGCGGTATAATTTTATAAAACAATTAATTTTAGTCCACAATAAGTAACTTAATAAGCCAACTACGATTGTGCGTCACATACTCTGACTTTAACATGCATTTTATTTTTATAACTACTACATTGCACAAAAACAACAATTAAAAATATTACACATTTACTTTATTGGATATGATATCAACTTTGGGCGTAATACATATCACATGTCACTATGTAAAACAATCAAGGTCAATACTCTTGTTACAGTTCGTAAATTACAAGTGAATGCCAATTCTCTAAACAATTTAATTATATACGTATAACACTTTTATAAAGTAGTTCCTATATAAGCATACAGAAGATGTTTTTGAAAAAAAAAAACAACCCCCGATGATTTAGCATTTTGATCTCGATCGTTGAAATAACTATCTCTTGACATACATAAACATTTGCATTCGGAGTAGGTCGTCAGGTTAGTAGGCTATACACGATTCACATAACATACGTTCTTAACAACATATTGATTTGAAATAATTAATGCGAATTAATATTACCATATATTAGATAGAAGTGATTTAATTAACTATTCTGTTCCAATTTGAATAAGACAAATTATTCAAAAATAGTTAAAGAAAGTGTCGTGGACAAAGGAAAACTAACTAATAATAAAATATAAAGATTTGATAAATATATTTCTTGCAATTTTTGTATTTTATACATACGAGCCTACGTATATGAAACGAACGTAAAAACAACGGGTTTTGACGAATGGCGAAAATAAGCTGTGTGCCGACTGCCGAGGCCTTAATAATACTAATAATAACTCCAATAATACAAAATTCATACAAGAGTCAGAAAACATCATGTGGTATAATATAGACTATGGTTTATCAATTTTCCATTTTATTGGAAAAATATTTTATTTTTAGCACAACAGCAACCAACACTACGCGATAAGCTACCTCTCCACGTCCCTTTTCTACACAAACCAATCATCTGTATGCAGTATGCACTATGACTATCAGGTCTGTTATGTTTATATTTGGTGACTGATGTAGTGACTGCAGGAAGAATTGAAGAAAGTCTATAATACTTTTAATATATAGTAAATACATCTATTATTTTTGAAAAATAAGTCGTCTGTCAACTTCAATAGTTCACAAATATTTTAGATATAGTAAAATAAAAGACCAATCAATCTGTAAAACAAATTCATGCACAATAAAAGTAAGTGAAAAAATTTTTGTTCAAAATGTTGTTTTTTTATTATTTAAATAATTCATTTTTGGACACTTTAAGTTTTGTTAATGAGTAATAACACATGAATGATTACAATTAAATATTTAAAAAACAATCACTGTATGTTAAGTCAATTACAACTTTAAACCGACAAAATTATTGTTTTAAAATAATTTTTAATTTTCTCAATTTAAAAATTTTTTTATGTAACTTAAATCTAAGAATTGGAACCGAAATTTTGTATTATTTAAAAACCGAAACTGAATTTCTTAATTTTCTATGAACCAAAACTGGAACCTAATTTCTTAATCAATCTTTCGTTAACCGAAACAAATCTAATCCTATATATTAATCATCAGTCTATCTCTAGATATCCTTTCCGTAATCTTCTATAAATTTGTTGTGTTTAACAAAAGTATTGAAACCCCGACAAAAATTTTAACTGAAAGTACGGTAAACCATTTAACACAGTTATAGAAATATTGATGTCACTGCACTGGTTTAGTATAAATTTCAAAATACAACGCTAGTCATATCACAAATTTAATACAATATTCAAACATCTAACTCGAAAGTATGTTTCAATATAAATTAAATTACCTTACGTATACTTATACATACTTACCCAATGTTATTACTCATGATTCCCCTTATATAAATATACGGCTAGATATATATATATATATATATATCACACGGTTCGATAATACACTATACAGTAATATTGAAGATGTTAAACGATACATTTAGTTCACATATACTTTTATGGAATTAGTTCTGATTTTTTAAATTTTAACTTAAAATTTATTTTTCACAACTTCAACTACTTTATACTCATACTAAATAATTAATAGAAGAAGTTATTTCTTAACGCCTTTCAGATGTTAATAAAACTAAAATAGTTATAATAATGATAAAACTCATTAAAATTTATTCATTCATCTGCTAATTTATAATATATTATTAAACTTCATAAAGTTAATTTTAGTTTCACTTTGGTAAATAGACACTCTCGATGAATGGAAAATGAATATATCAAATATGCTGACTTATTAGTTGATTATTTAATTACTGTAATCGAGAAATAATGAATGTAAATATTTGTATTGGAATGAAGCTTTAATTATTATTTAATACGCCTCGGACTTAAAAAAAAAAATCGACGGTTTTTGTTATGCATGCAAAGGGAATTAATTCACTTGACATTGACTCAATCTCAATGACTATAAACACATCAGTGTATATATAAATATAAATTATTAAACACTAAAGCAATGAACTTTATTTATTAAAATGTTTACGTTATTAGTTTATTGCAATAAATATTTTATAAAATTTAATTAAGGATGTTTTATTTCTTAGAAGAAATCGAATATAAAGCCATATAATAATTTTTATATCGATATTTTAACCAATATTAAAAGATAATTATACTAAAAATTGTTACAAAAAAAAAAAAAAAAAAATAAAAAAAAAAATAGGTACTTTTTCAATATAAAATAATCGGTTCTTAAAACTAATTTACAGTTATTACTTATAGTAAATTTAATATTCTAAAAATATTATTTTTGTACACGATTATTATTAAAAACTTTAATCATCATTTCATGGTTATAGTTAAAATTATTTTGCTTTCAACTATTTATGTTATAAGATTCTCCAAATTAAACTTGTTCAATATTAGTTCAAAATGTATTTATTCAAACCCAACATTATATCAAAAACAATGGAAACCCTAGTATTTTTCAAACACCTTAATTTTAATATCATAAAATATATTCTAGTTTAATAGTACGATTAAAATCCAATTTGGCGACAAGAAGTCCAAAAAATGCAAATAATATTATTTTGCCTCTTGTTCATAATAAATAAATCAGTATTATCATATTAAACTTTACAGAAGGATATTTTTGAAATTAAAATATAAATATTATAAATTTTAAAATTATCATTAAAATGCTGTTAAAACAATCAATAAAACGAAAACTAAAATATAAGTCCCTGTACTTGTTATCAACATTACATAAATAATTGCATTCAGAATAATTTAAAGAAAACTATGGGCAGAGTTGGGAAAAATTAAATCAAAATGACAAATAAAAAATAAAAGCATGAATAACTAATTATTTTGTGAATAAAGAATAGTATTTTATTTTAAATGGTTTTAGTTGTGAATAAAAAATAAAAAATTGTGAATAAATTGATTTTCTGAATAAATAAATAAAATAAATTGTGAATATTATCTAATTTTTATGTAAAAAAATTATGATAAAAATATATTATTCATAACAATAATTTATATAATAATGTTATTGATAATAATAAACATGACAAAAATAATAATAATAAATATTATACTGTATAAAATGTCAGCACATACGGCTACATCAAATTATGGTCAGGATTTATTTTAAATTAATTTTAAAAACGTTACAAAATCAGTAAAACCTTACGCGCCAGTAAATTGCATATCGAGTGCTTAACCAGTTGACCAGATTAGCCTTTCATGGATAAAAATATTATTTGATTTTTGGTTTTGATCGATAGCAGAAAATATTACAATAAAATACCGGTTTCAATTTTCAATTAAGTTAATATTTTAAATTATCTACGAATCATTTGAGATAAACATAACTATGAAGAATAATGAATAACGAATAACTGAATAATGTATAATGAACAAAAAAAGATCTAGAATAACCCATTAAATAATGAATAACGAATAATTATAATAATTAAAATGACGAATAAAAATAATCTAGAGTAGTCATATGAAAAATAAATCAATAGAGAATACATTTTCATTTAAATAATCAATCAAATAATTTTTTATTCAACTAATTCTCAACTCTGATAATCGTTTTTAATTTTAATATAATATAAAAATACCCGTGTCAGGTACACTCTATATTTGAAGAATGCATGAAATATATACCTACAGATTATTAGTTTTTATATATATATATATATATATAAAAAATGTAATTTATTTTAAAACAAGTGAAACTATTTTACAAGTATACGACTGTAGATTTTCTTCAGTTTATACGATAATAATAATTTAATAAAAATATTTATGTAGAAAGACTGATAATAAATAAAAGCAAAATACGCTATAGATAGATGAATCAATGTGTAAGAAATTAATCTAATTTGAAAACTACACGATTATAACAATACTGAATAATAGTAATATTTACTGTGAGCATTTAAAACTAATTATAATAGTTTAATACCGCGTAGTAATTTCTTGGCCTATAGATATACAGTTCTTGTTCAAATTTTCAAATTGGAATATTTAAGCAAATATAATATATATATATTTATGAATATTGGGCACACTCGAATATTATAATATATATTTTTTATACCTTGTGACGAATGACATTCAGACATCACAAATTACATTCACTAGAGATATTATAATTCGCTTATTCCACTATGAATATTCAACATTGAAACTATGAAACTAACGAAATAGTTTAACAAATATAAATTAATAATATATATTGAGTATATAAATCTGCATTTACTTGTCTTTCGGAAACTTCGATGGGGTTCTTAAACATAATCCATGTGACACATTCGGAACACGGCGGAGTCGTCAGTGAACCATGATATGTCCAGTATGTTTCGTCCTCTGAAAGTGAAGTATGCAAACAATATTATGCAAAAGCATATTGGCATAGTGTTCATGTGTATGTGTGGATACCTGGGTAAATACTGTCCGTGAGTAAATGGTTTTATTTTTCAAATAATATTTACCATATAGTATCATCAAACTATCACTCTCTACTCCTTTAATGTGTATTAAGTTTGTATATTAAGAAAAAATATGATTAATTACCAGGCAGCAAATTTTTCGGGTTGATTGAATTGGTTATTTCGGCCACTTGGTTGCGTAATGCGACCTGAGGAATCAGTGATACAATTTTTTCCAACTCGTCATGTGATTTGATTCCAGCCTGAAAAAACCAACACAATGATAGAACAACTCCGTTGGTATTGTTAAATGGCCGTCGTTAAAAAATATCATTAATTATTATCATAATAGTCCTATGATGGAGGTCACATCCTACTCGTATAATCAACGACAATCAATTTATCTGCGACGGATAATATATATTGTGAGGTACTCACGCGGAGTCATAAAATGACCCATTCTTCGGAAGTTTGCATGGTATTCTACTTGGAGGACCCGACAAAAATTCTAAATTTCCCGATTTGGACCTATCTATATAAATATAGATAAGTACAATGTTATTAAGATTAACTGACAGATTAATCTTATATCGGAGGTTGAAGTTGAATCCGTTTCAATGTTTCTAATCAATACGTTAACAACAATTTAAAAAAAAAAAAATAACAATCTTACTCGTATAAATACTACCATAAACGTGCAAATATGCTAGATCAGTTCCAAACTTGACATCATAACGAAATCAGAGTTAAACAAATGATAAAAGTAAAACAATTGACATAAAACTTAAAATATTATATTTCGTTTAGAGCCGAGAGTGAACTAGATCTATATACATATCTATATACATTTAACCAAATTCGACTTCAAACAATACATGACTTCTGATAAAGTCTTCAACTATGTGGTACACTTAAAGAATAAATATTAAATACCTGTAAGAACACTCCAAGTACTGCCAAACCATCTGGGTGCGCGATGGCTTCGGAAAACGAATTATACTTGTCACAATTCCAATGAACTAAATGTAGCTGAAACAAGAACCCATGATGAATTACGATGAATACTAACACACTAAATTGATTAAAATAATTTTAATATAATTATTTTATCAACTAAGCTTTTAAATAAAAATAAGACATGATTATAAAAAAAAAACTTTTACAAAGTTGTTGAATATATAGGTAGAGAGGTACGGCTGTATTTAATGAATTCAATCTCTCGTTACGATTATTTTTAGCATGCCTTAGTTGTTGACCCCTTGTAGATCAATAGAAAAATACAATAATAGCAAGTGACTAGCGAAATATATACGTATAAAAAAAGCGGTCTCACATTGTAATAATAAAACTCGAAAGGGAAATACTCAGAGGCCCGTAAAGGAGAGAATTCACATTGAGTAGGTAAGAAAAAATTTGCACTCATCATAGCTCTGGGAGTTTGAACATAAGATTATTTCAATGTATATATGGTTATATTCCAAAGCGATATTTTTTTCATTACATCCTATTTAAAAGAAGAAAATTGTCAAATACTGGAAATCCACTTACCTCGCCAGCATAAGGAATTCCATCGACGGTATGTTCTGATCCCTTAGAGCTAGTACATCCCCAATGACAATGGAACTGTTCCAATTTATACTTATGTCCCAATGGACCGCCAGAGAGTTCTGAAAAAGTAATACATTTTCATAAGAAACCATAATCCTTAAAACTTTTTATATTAGATGCAAGGTATAAATCATACAATTAGAACGACATTCTAAAATTTATTATACATTTTATAACGGACTAAAAATAATAATTAGGCCTTTCAACGTTTCAAATCTATTACACAGCATAACAACCCATCAGTAAGAACACATTTTAAATGTATACAAGTTTCCAACTGTAAGTGGGACGATAATGAATAGTACTATTTTAGCAATAAAGGCGTATTGTGTATAATTATTTACCGAACCCATAATATTATACATCATACTGTTCGAATAAGAAATTGTTTGCAGTTATTGTTTTGGGCGTGAATTGCAAATAATTTCAATACCTAGAGGTTTTGTACAACAACACACATGACATAATTTTTATCTTTTTGAAAATGAAAATGCAGTATTTTCATACTCAAGGCAATTTTGAAATAAATAAAATTCTTACCGGAACCTTCACCACCAGTAGCATCCACTTTCCAACCATATCCAGTGTTAATGATTTTTGTGCACATTTCAGGACAATAATTCCAGTACAAAGGCTGACATTTTAGAGTCATGTCATTAGTGGATTTCGATGTCTCAATATTTACGGGCGATTGCAAGGATCCAGCGGCTTGTGGGAAGAGTTGAGGCCAGACCGATGGTCCTGTAAAAATAAATGAAATACTAATAAATTAAACAGCATTGTTGCAGCAATATGCACGTCCTGATTCAAATATCAATAAGTAATTAATGATTTAAAATTACATAATAAATGACACGCAAGTTAAAACATAATAATACATAATTGATTATATGTGTCATCGGAGAAAGATTTAAATTGTGCATCTTGATTTCCATGCGTTCATAAAATCTGTATTTTATTATTTAATTGCCAAATATTTGAGCACATGATAGATCAGTTGCTTTTTATAATACTATAATTTTGTAGTAGGTAGTAAACACGATTACACATTTTTTAAACTCGTTTATATTTTAATTGATTCTAAAACTATATTATCAATGAAAAATATTACATAGAAAACCAAGATGAATATTTTATATGATATATAAATAACAAGTTGATTATCAACTACACATTAGATTGGCTTTTCATGATTGTAATTTACGTCAATATTTTAAACAGTCAACAAGTTATGGTTGTGAGACTCTGTCAGTTACGTCTGATATAGAATATGAATTTAGGACAAGGTGTGTAACCTAGGTTAATATTCAGTAATCATTTTAAACTGTTGAAGTTAAGACTGTCCATCAGACTTTTTAATTTTCAAAAATTCGAAACCCAGTGCCCATAAACCGGTTTTGCAAAATACTACTATCCCTCAAATGTTATTAAGAGAACGTCACTAAGATAATAGCAATTTTTAACCATTCCGAAGATATAAATCATAAACCTGAACAAGTGAGAAAGGAAATCAAATACAAATCCCGATTGTACTTAATATACTTCGGGTTTGGTAAATTGAGTCCCATTTTATTAATTTTAAGTAAACTGAGTTCCTCATATAAAAATGAAATCGATAAATTGAATCCCTCGTACAAAAATAAAATCGTTAAATTGATTTTCTTGTACAAAAATTAAAGCGGTAATTTAAAATATGGTAAAATGCTGTTTTTTTTAATTTAACACACTTTTAATTATATTAACAAAATTGTATACTGCTTACATTAAACTTACATTTATCAGTTATCACATATCACATCCATCGTTTTTGTAGATAGGGTGCTTATATAAATGTTGCGTAATAATACGGAGCAAAATATAATCATATTTAACGATGAAACGATAGAATACACTTACCTACTCGGTGAATTTATAACTATATCAACGATTATATTTATAATTTAAATACATTTAAATAAATTTAATATATTAAATATTTTAGACGGGTCTCAATTTACCAATTTCGATATTATTATTGGGACTTAGTTTACCTATTTCGAAAAAAGATAAATTCGTTTGAGGCTCATTTACCTACGCTCATATACTTTATACCCTACATTAGAATATTACAAAAAAAAACACTAGCTAAATTTACAGTAAAACATATTCATTTTTAAGACGCAATATTCTGTTATGATGAATCATTCAAGCCAAATAATGAATTAATAAAACAAAAAAAAAGTTATAATTTCATCTCGAGATTTACCTGTATGATGTAGATTTTCTCAAACAATTATATCAACCTCGGAAATATTTAAATTTTATACTGAAAATCGGAAGGTAATATTGTTTATGATAAATTCAAATTAACTTTTTGTTTTTTACTTACAAAAGTCGTTAACGAAAAAATCTTATTATCCTTAAAAATATTAATTAAAATGTTACTTTGAACCGTTGAGAAAACATTTAAGAACAATATTTTGAAATACAACAAATCGTAATAAAGTTATTTCATAAATCTATAACTAACGGGATTTGTTTATTATTGGTTATTCATACAGTAAAACGACGGTTAATAGATCGATTAAGAGAGTTACCACATACCTTGTAAAAACTTACAAATATGTTATATTCTGTAAATTCATATGGTTGTAATTTTTCAAATATACCATTTGCATTAGTTTTTGTTATATTTATAGTTAATTTAACAAAAAATAACCCTCGATAAGCAAAAAAATATCTGGTAACACTATTTTTGATCAAACAAATAAAATTGCATTTCATAATTGTTACTGTGAAATTATTTTGATACTCATAAAAAATATATTCATATATGTACTGCAAATCTATAATATGTATGAATATTCGTCAAATCGTTACACGTTTGAAAAAATACCACATTTAACCTTTGATATCACAAATCACAAAGCATTTTATTTATAAAATTATATCAAAATGTTAAATTTGCAAATCGGTCATGTAGTCATGACAATTCACATTAGTATGGAATAACTACAGCTCGAAAAGATAAATCAACGTTCAGCAGTTAATGTGACCAAAATTTGAATAATATGTAACATATAAACAGTATAAAATGCATCCAAGAGTGCACGGGACTATAAAAACTGGTCGATCATTTAAAACTTAAATTTTTCGTTTCCTCAATTAACATGATAAACAATGTTTACTAACGATAATAATAATTAATAAAATGATAACCTTGAAATTTTATCAGAAATTCAATGGACATTTAAATTTGAATTAATTAATACTTAAAATTAATATTAATTATGAACAATGATTCTTTCTACTTAAGAATGCGCAATATGTACCAACACAAGCTTAATAAGATAATGTTAGTCCTTTTTTACATTTCGACTAGTACGTTTCTAAATACACATTAATAATTTTAAAAAAATATACAACTTCAATTCGAAAACGTTAAATTTATTTTGAAGACTTTTATGAACCACCATTAAGCATAAAATTAACTAGTTTTTTCAAAATCAACAAATAATATTATTTCCGCCAGTCTTTTTACGCAGATACCTATGGAATATTATAATTTATCTTTGCAATTACTTTTATTTGAATTCATATAAATAAAAATTTGCATAAAATAGTATATATATATATATATATAAATTTAAACACAGCAGTGATTTAATATCGTATTTCGATGAACGCCAAATATAACCGGTTACCAACGATATATCGGGAGAGCCCGGCCGGTGTAACGTACTACTACTTATAGCCTCGCAAATTATTTGGCTTTCACGCCGACTCATCAAGCCCGCGGTATTTAAATTGCAATCTAAAAAACGTCGGCCAACCACAGTAGTGAGCAAAGCACGTAGAGTGTAAGACGTAAAAGAAAAATTATTTATGCGATAAACAAGTGTGTGTCAATATGGGTGTGTGTGTGTGTGTGGGTATTTAATAAATGCGAATACTAACATAAAAAAAAAATAGAAATAGATGCGGAATAGATTGTAAAAATTGTATACCATCACAAAATGTTTTCTTCGTAAACATAAACACATAATAGCATGTTCTCAAACTGTGTTCCGCGGAGCCCTAGGACTTAAACAATCAGTTTTATATTAAACTCGGTCATTATAATTAGTTAAACAACTACATTTATACAGATTATATATAATTGTACACAAGCAAACACGCATATTAATTGACTTCCATTAAATTAAATACTGAAGTACTGGTAAATGTAAAAAAAACAATGTTCACATTATAACCAAATGGTATTTATATTATATTTTGTTATTGAAATTAAATTAAATATTTTGTATTTTAATGCATATGAATTATAAAAAAAAGGATAAAAAAGCAAACCTTTGATACATTATTTTTTATGAATTGTGGTTTAAAATCAAAATTCTTAGTCATTGCGGTTCTTAGTGAAATTTTTATCATCAAAAGGATTTTGCAAAAGTTTGAAAGCCACTGCATCAGTACAATAACTCGTGTGTGAATGTACGTGATTTCTGAAATCGTTGAAGTCTGCGATTTGTACACAATATATTTTTCACGCATCGAGTCACGCAGTCCACATGATTTTTTTTCTATTTGTTTTATCATTTTTATTTAGGTGATCAAAGACACCACTTCTAGTTGTATTACTAATTTATAATATGAAAACGATTGACATTTTAAAAAGAAATTTGTACTACTAAACAATATAGGTTCCCATAAAATGTAATCACGTCAAACAAACAGAAACTCACGTGGTCTATTATAATATTATTTCCAAAACAAAAGTTTGACGGTACATGTTTTATAGCCGTATAGGTCGATAGCCTACTAATGCAATTCTAATCACGTCCAAAGCACGTGGTATATACCCCGGACGACGGTTTATGTCGAATATTTTACGGTTAGAGAAAAACTTGTTTAAAAACTAACACTAGGTATAGTAGTTGTGGTAGATCAAAATAATAGTGGTATCACCATGGCGTAATGACAAACATTGTGGTGAGCTTAGACAATAATAACAATGTAATGGAAATATGTACAAGTCGGCATTATTTAACAAATTAACATCGTCAAGGTTATTTCGGTGATATATACAAAGGTGGTAAAGATAATACGTGAAGTTTTTTATTGCCATCGATAAATGCGTATACCCGTACGTGTAATATTTTTTCTAGGTTAGTTCATATTTATACATTATATGTAAGTACAATATACGTCATATTGTTATATATTAACTTCCTAGAGAACAAGTAATCAACGATGTATAACTTGCATAAAATAAATATATAATCGATATTTCAAAGATTGAAAATTATATATTTATTACAATTTGATAATGCATACACACTGTAGAATTAGCAAACAGTGTTTTGTTTCTCAATATAACATAGCTATTCATTCAGTACCTACTCAATAAATTTTAAATCATTACATCTTAACCGATTGTTAATAGACTTTTTTTTTGTTATTCATTCATTTTTAAACTTTTATACTCGATGTAAAAAAATCAATATAAAAAAAATAAGAATCTAAATAATCTCTAAACTAAACATTTAGCAATGCTAATAAATAATAATATAATGGTTAAATTAAAAAAGAAAATTTTTTTATAAAATTAATTATTTTTGCTTTACGATATCGAGAAAATAAAAATGATATCCATAGTAAAAAAACATATAGTTGATTAAAATTACTAGATACTAATCAACTAGTATATACTGTCGATTGTGTTAAATTAAAGTACACAGTTAAAGGTTTTATGGTTACTTCAT